TTTTTTTTATAAATTGTTACCTGATTGCAGAATAGCTTTACTAATGTAAACATTGGATATATTGGACAATATATTAGCGCTAACACAGATACTGCCGGAACTGTCGCCAAACATTACAATATTATTGGGATTACCGCCAAATTGTGTGATATATTGTTGCGTCCAATTCAATGCCATCGTCTGATCCCATTGACCGGCATTTGCGTCGGCGTCCGGCCTATCGGTGCACAGATAGCCAAACACTCCACCCCTAAAGTCAATGGTGACGACAACAACATCTCTTATGGCCAACTGTTGGCCGTCAAAGGCATTAGCCGTAGGGGTCGGCACAACGACAGAAAATGCTCCTGCTACTAGCCATATCATAACCGGTAGATTTCCATTCACATTTATAGTTGGGGTAAATATATTTAAATACAGACAATCCTCGTTTGCATATAAAATATTTCCCAGTTGTGGACAACCATTAGTAAATTGTGTGGCATTTATGGTTTTATTTTGTGAATAACTTATAGGGACTGTACGTCGGAAGCGTAACTCTCCCACTGGGGGTGTGGCGTATGGTATGCCCTAAATATTAAATAGATGTTGAATTAATAAATCTCTTACATTTAAAAATAATTACCTTGAATATATAAATAGGAATCGTAGCATTTGGTTGTGTGTTATTAAGACTTTGTGTTGATATGTTTGATATTATCCCAGTAAATGTATAATTCCCTAACCGTACAGTTGGAGCTATTTTGATAGTTTTTCACATTAATATATTTTTTTAAAATATTAATAAATAGCATTTATTTGCATACCGCAATATATATTATTTATTTGTAAAATATATTTTAATATATTAATTAATAGCACTACTATTTTACTTTTGCACATTTTATTTAATAAAACAATCAATAAATTAAATTTAAATATTTTAGTAAACTAAACTTTATGTATTATTGTAGAGGCAAACAAAATTCATAATAATAATTTTATTATATTTTAAAATATTAACAAATAAAAAAATTAAATGCCTAATTTAATTTCAATCATGATGAAAACTTATAAATAGTTTTCCTTAACAGCTGTAACACCATGTTGTATTAATTAAACACAATGTTAAATACAATTAGTTTGAAAGGTATTGGTGATTTAAGGTCAATGATAGTAAATTCGATCATTAGTACATTATTAATTTAGCATTATAATATATTTATTTCTTTATATAAAATATAATTTGTTTATTATGATTTTATGCAATATACATGTATATTTACTGTAAGTGTAAAATATATTGATATCATGATAAAATGAATAAACCATAATGTAATGTAATGTAAAACAGATATTTTTTAATGTTTTCTTAAAAGTAATAAATAGTGTTAAATATTTATGTGATATTAAATTGTAAATATTTTATTGAAATGAATTAACAATTATTCGATTCCAAAAGTTTTTACAATTTTGAATAACCGATGGATTTAAGCCATTATTTCCCATATATTTATTGCTAAATACTTTTCCCAATTGTTGCAAATCAGATGTCAAAAGCATATAATTTAAACTAACATTTCCATTATTTAGTGGTGTGTATGGAAGCCATTGATTGCCATTTACTGCCGGAACAGTACTATAAAAGTATATTTGAGATTTTAATTAATTGTTGTTAATTATAATTTATAACTATAATAAATACCACTTTTTGGCAAAAGTTGTCCATATATTCATCATAAGAGCGCTCATATATCTATCTGTATCTGTAGACTCTGTGTCTGTAACAAATGAACTTGTAGAATTATAAAATGGTTGGCCCCAAACTAGCACTATATCATCGGTGTGTTCGGCCCCATAACACCACGTGCTGTTATAACACATGGACTGACTGTTGGCGTATTGCAGGTAATATTGGTGTACACTAACCGAGAACTGGGAATATTGTGCCAAATATTGTCCAAACAATACCGTCGAACAAACGTATCTATAATCGGATAGCGCTTGAACTACAGTCGCCCGCAAACCATTAGTTTGGCTAATATTATACCAATCCGTAAACGTTTGAGTATAGCTTTTGGCCACTCTATTAGCAAAAGACATGTTTGCAAATATTGTCATTAAATTATTGTAAGCGTTTTGTTTGGACGTTATAGCGTAGGGCACTGTCGGCACATACAGTCCTCCTACAGGTGCCACCAAAGTAAGCTGATTACCAAGAAAGGCACCTTCAATAACAGTATGTCCCAACAGGACTTTTAGATCTGGCCGGAAAGTGCGTGCCTTTAATGATGCCAATGGATTTGCGGGTAAATACTGGTCGCCATAACATATGGAAAACGGGAATAAATCGGAAAATAATTGAATTCCTATCCCTTTTCCAATATTCCATTGATTCGACTTAAATTGTCCCAAAAGTATTTCATTTGTAGATTTATTGCGAAGACATTTGACATAATCTAGATCTGGATTACAACCCATAAAAGTGGCAAACTTTTTAGCTATTAGAGTGTTAATTGATACCGATCCAATTTCGGTGGAAAATATTGTACCTGTTAGTATTAAATATTACATGATACAGTATGTTTGACACGAGTAATATTATAAGTTTATATACTGTATTATATTTAACATTAGCCACTTTGGACAGATTTTTAGTTATTAGTGATATTAACTTATCACAGTATTTTTGGTTTCTTAAGTTGCAATATCTTAATAAAAGACCACTAATTATGTAGTTTAGACCAAATAAAATAATTTAACCCTAATAGCTCGGGCTGATAGCCCAATGGGTACCCCTGGCAGGGGGTTTTAAGTTGCAATTGCTTCGGAGAGTTGCATAGATACTAGCGCCAATTGTTTTGCGACATAAAAGTTAACTAACTCTCATTGGCTAACACATAATAGGGCGGTCAAGTGATTCCAATCGTGCGGTAATTGATGCCATTTTTTAACTAAATGAGATAATTTAATTCTGTAAAATGGATATAAGAGCGTCATATACTGCGCATCTGCAGCTTACTTTATTATAAATATAGGTTACGTGGTTTACTTAATAATATGAACATTCGGAATGGTCATATTACAGGTCAAACTATAAGAAATGTAGAGATGGTCCCAATGGGTAATTTGTGAAGGGATAAATTCTGCACACAATGAAAAAAGAAT